CACTTTAAATGTTTTTTCTACATACCTCGAGGTACGAGTGCAGCTTGTGATCGCTGTGATGCAGGGGCACATGGAGTGTCCCACAGGAGTGCAGGGGTCAGGGGGAGCCCTCCATGTGCTCGGCAGCGAACCTGCTAGTGGACTAGAAGTACTTCTGGTCCCCTTCCGGGTCCACTGGAGAGTGCACTGAGGGGCCCTCTGCGCTCCCCCAGCTTGGCGATTGGTCGCTGGGAGGACCCTGGATACCCCTCCCAGACCCAGGAAGTACCAGTTTCAGAACCAGAAGGGCATGGGGGGGCCCCTTTGCATGCTCCCCAGTGGACCCAAAAGTGGACTGGAAGTGCTTCTGGTCCAATTCTGGGTCTGCTGCCAAGCATGCTGGGGAGTACCCCGTTCTTCTGTGGGACACTCCATGTACCCCAGTATCACAGCACACACGAGCCCCTGCTACGTAGAGGTATTTAGAAAAAACATTTAAAGCTGCATCTACGTCTGAATTGCAAAATCTCTCCAAATCGGTTCGGAGGGTTCTGATTCTCTTCAGAGAGATTAAAGGGTCCTCTGATTTAATTTAGATTCAGAGATTCGGCCACTGAATCGGGCCAAATCTATGTCGAATCAAATCAGGGACTGAAACTTTGCACAGCCCTAAAGAATATCTGTCACTTTTTAACATAGTGGTGAAACACTCCTGCAGAAAGCCAGCACAAAGTCTATCCAATGCTTTCATCCCACATAACCCTCCCCACCTCCCCGAATGAACTTTCTAGCTCATATTCAGCATAGCACTTAAAAACATGTTTAAATCACATTCATATCAATGGGATTTAAATGCATGCTAGGTTTTGTGCTACCCTACAAGGGTGAGGGCTGAATTTCACCTATATTATTGACTACTTAGTACTATAGCAAAGGATAACAGCACTAAAACAGAGGATTCTGGTAACATGCATTAAGTTTCATGTAGCAGTATTTGTCTGATCAGGCTGTAATCTGGTAAATTGTTTAATCAGATGGGAGATGACCAAGAACTAACAATTCATCAGAATATGGTTCCTATAAAATTAACTATATGAAATTGTTCTCAGTGTTTGTCTCTCTGAATGTATTAGAGTAACATAAATCTTAAGGATACATGTGCATCACCATTATTATTTATTGATGATATATTGATACAGGAGATTATGCTGAGGGACAACCAACACGGGTTCATTAGAGGCAGGTCCTGT